CTCTCTTTCATAAAATGTATTAGTGTACGTGGTACACGATAAATAAATTTTGTATGAGTACGTTATTGTTGACATGAATATTTTTTTTCTCCATCAAAGTGGAAAAAGTAGGTAATAGTTTATAGATCTTGTTGAATGTTTTGTTTTTCCTATACAAAAAGAATTGAACGTGGTTCTATCGTTTCATAACGTTAAAAAAAGTTACCCGATTTCAATTGCGGTTAGGAGATTTTTCATATCGAACTATTGATAGTGTTAGTTTCACAAACATTGGTTTAGAGCAAATGGTGGAAAGTAGCCTTTCTATGTTTGCTCTCGTGACAAATTCGAAATGTGGAAATTTTTTATCATTTCACTTAAATATAGTAGTAAATTTTTGTTAGCACCGTAATAATACTTTATAATAAGTGTTTTTTAAATAATTTTCTACTGATAGTTCGACTATAAAGTTTTTATGTTAAAGTCCAAACCAGTATAAATTTTTACTAGTATGAAAAGATTAAATAACAGTTAAATTAAAATTTAATTGCAAAATATTCTATCGCTAATTTATCCACAACCTCCTATAGCTGATATACAAATTCTTCCATAGATTGGATGGTATATTTCTTGTAATTCAGGCTTTCTTTACTATATGAGGGATGGATCGTAAATATTTCTTTTGAATACTAGCCAGAGGCCCGGCCAGTTGGCCGGATACAATCGTGAATCGTGTTAGTTATAGGAGCAATTAGTATGCAAGATACGTGTTTATTTGGTAGCATAATAAAATTTAAATTATTCAAATATTTGAAACCTTCAAATGGATTGGTAGTATAAGAGAATCCAAATTGTCTACTTGAACCATTCAAAAGGATCAACATTATAGTGTTTTCCTACATTCTAACATACGCATAGACTAAAATTTTGTAGAAAATGAAAGACAAACCTCATGCAAAGTAACCGAGTCCCACAAAAATTAAAATCACCATTTTATGTACTCCTCATTTTCAAAGATTACTGCATGTTTTCTTTAGACTTGTTTGTGTTTCCTTAACCATGAGTATCATCATCTCCCACTAATAAAATTGTCTTCATCTCCTTTGTGAAACATTTTTCTCCATTACCAATTGGCTCCTTTTTTTTTCTCTTTAATTGCAATAGTCTCTTCTTTGTTTTCCTCCACTTCTTTAGCACAATAATTTAAGTGTTAATAACTATGTCTAGCCTGAATTTTTCACATATTTAACATCTTGGCCAATCCTTTTGATATTTAATATTGTGGCCTGAACTAATCGTACACTTTACTATTTTGGCCAAACCCGAGAGTTGACCGTTAGTTTTGACGGTCAAGTCTGCTGACTAATGGTAAACCAATGCAGTCAAAAGCGTGATTCTATGTAGAAGCGTTTTGGTGAACTGGAAACATAAGATCGTAAGTTTGTAAGTTCTAAAGCGTAGATTTTGACTACACTTATAAAGGAAAAGCGTGATTTTACGTAGAAGTGTTTTGGTGATATGGAAGTATAAGAATGTAAGTTTTAAGAGTTAAAGCGCAATTTTGGGTTTGGTTTGAAGGAGCATTAAAAACTTAAGTTTTTAAGCGTTAAAGAGTATAATTTTTTAATGGTTAAGTATGACAAATACAAATCATCTATTTTATTCCAAAATAATCAACCACATCCATGATATTTTCTTGCTCCCCATCATCGTACTTATATATCTCTCATGAAAAATGTCTTCCTTTTTCTCAATAGCACCATCATCTCTAGTATTGGATCCGTCACCTCGAACATTGGCAGTCCCATTCCTGTTCTCATGGATTACATTGTGAATTTAGATTATTGACATTCAAAAGCACAACGTATGATGGGGATTTGTCGAATTGTAAGTGAGTAATATATATTGGAGTAAAAACTATCGGCGAATACAATTACATGCATGTTAGTGAGATATTAAATAAACTCAGTTGGATTTGAAGTTATAGACACCATGCATTTGCCTACAAACAAAAGAATACAACTAAGTATCATTTGTGCATGGTATAAGAATTGATTGCTTTAAAAATGTAGATGTATACAATTGATAAGAGAATAGTTAGCGGATGATAGACGCAATCAAATGCATTACAAAATCAACATGAGAAAAGTAAATATGGTAGGTAGTTTAATTACATAATATTCCATGGGTGTATGTTACAAATACACTCTAAATATAATAGGGAATAACATAACCTTGTAACTAATATGAATATCCATTTTCACGCAAGTAAAATTAACCTTGATCGATCATGTGCATTTTGCTCTTTCCTGTAAACCATGTACTCACTTTGGTTGGTTACTGGTTAGAGATGTGATAATCTGTGAGTTTGATGTCAAAATTCAACATCATCCCTCAATTTGTAGAATATGCTCATGTGAAAGTCCTCTCATTTTATCATTATATTGGAATAGCGTCTCAACAGATATTTCAAAAAATTGGGCTCCAACACGATTTATAACAACAAAGTCAGCCTCAATTTTATGTCCATAACTCAAAGTTGGATCCATAATTTGTCTACTAATAATGTCATACACAACCATAGAAATCGTCTTAAGTAAGGTGCATTTTAATTGGTGTTGTCAAATAATCCAAATTATTCAATTACTAATAGAAAAAAGTCATCATATTCAAGTACATTGTTAAAATTATCCACATTAACTTTAATAATTACTGATGCAAATTACAGGCACAAGGCAGAATAAGAATCACTTAGAATACTTAAACAGATGAAGTATACTTTGTTAAGGGTCTTTTGTTAGTCACCTCATGCCGAACCATATTTCCTATGTATGTTATCTTTTCTACCGTAGCTTTAGTATGTTTTGTCAATTATTAAAAAAATATTATTTATTTTTGCATTGGTAGTAGAATCTAACTTTTAAAGTTAATTTTGTTGTATCCATAGCAAAGTAAATTTGAATTGAGATTAGCAATTCAAACATGAAAGAAATTTTTGTTGGCTACACTTTTTGTCAATCTCTATTGTTTGATGAAATTAAACATGTAAGCTGGTATGATTAGAATGTATTTGCATGCTTTGACCTTGGTATTTGATTGAAACGTGATGACCAATTTGTTTGTAGTTGGCATGTAATTACCTATTTCCATGGAAATTACAGAAAGTGTTAGCATTTGATAGGTAATGAGTCGTTAATCGAAACATATACTTACCTCTTCTCTCTCCTTAAGTGTTAGCATTTGATTTGGCTTTGTACCGTTTTGATTTGGATGAGGTAATGAGGTCTTTCAGTGCTTTTCATTAGATAATGTGGTGCATCTATATCACTTTTTTCACGAAAAAAGAAAATAATCACTAATTCAAACATGAAGGAAATTTCCATTGGCTGTACTTTTTGTCAATCACTATTGTTCGATGAAATTAAACTTGTAACCCGATATGACTGGAATGTCTTTGCATGTTTCGACCTTGGTATTTGATTCAAACTTGATGAGCAATTTGTTTGTAATTGGCATGTAATCACCTATTATCATATTGACCTTGAAGTTCTTGATAGTGTAAACTCTATGTTGAAGAAACATATGTTGAAAATCCTTGATTTGCCCATTGCCCATTTGGGAATTTACACCCAAATATCATTACGTTGAATAAAAATGTAGGCATATTAATAAAATGTGGGAATTAATTTTATCATTATCTTTTTTTTTTTTATAAATGGATGCAAACAAATATTAACTTTTACCAAAAATTTCTCTCACCCGCCTAAGTTCGTTAATTAATTCCACCTGGCTTAAGTAGAGCTCCATTATAATTGTGTTTATTTATGCCGTAAGCCTGAAAACAATTAGAGGCTGATTATAAAATTAATAATAATTATATGAATTAAAGGAAAAGACCAAAGGGTCCTTCCGTTGTTTGCGCAGGTTACTGGAAAAAGAGAAATAAGTGGGTTGCGGAGAAGAATCTCCATATATGTTTTGGATGATGATGATTGGGTCGGTCAGTTTTGGTCATGCTCTCGTGTATTGCATCGGCCCAAACTTGACAGACCGAATTAAAGCCCAACATTATGGGCCTAGTCATTTTACTAACCAATCAGCACAAAACACGCGCTCCTTTCAACCGTCCATTTATCCTTGATAACTGGATCCGCGCCACAGTACACAGAAAACCTAGTAAAGTAAGATTAAGAAGACGGCAATAAGTCGCTGGTTCAGTTCATTCAATCTCGCTTTTTAGTTTGAAAATTGAATTCTCTGTTTTTCCCCGTTTCCCTCCACTTTACTCCTTCCCCTCTCTCTCTCTCCTCATCGCCTTTCAAATACATTGCATCCTCCTCGAACAATCTCGGCTTCCGGTAGCAGATAACCGAACGGACGACAACTTGAACGGATCGAGAACGAAGCAGCAGATAAGAAGAAAAAAAAGAAGGTAAACATGGCTTGTTTCTCTCTCTCTAGGCTTCTCTGTCGCCGTTTTCCTCTCACAATTCTAGGGTTTCTTTTCGCTCTCTGCACCGTTCGAAACGATATTCACTGCTTCAATAGATTTATCACATTCAAGCTCTTACGCTCCTCCGTGCCGCAATTTCGCTCTTGAGCTGTGCTTCCGGAGACTGCTTTTCCAAATCTTCACCTAGTTTGATCTGTGTGCGATACTAGATCTTGTTCGGTGTGGTGTAGCTACTACGATAATGACGCAGCTGGTTGTTCGGTTTCTGTATGTTGGTGGTTATTTGATTCTCGCAGTTATCCTTCCCAGTTTTGCAGTGGCTTTTATGTCTTTCTTTACGAGAAGAACTGAGGAACTGTGATTTTGCTGTGAAGCTTCTTTCTGGCAGTATATGCAGCTCTGGAATCAATTTGGAGTTTCTAAGGCGATTTTTGTTAATACTTTGCTTTTGTATTGTTCCTGGTTGTTGTTCTTCTTATAAGACGCAACTGTGTGACGGATGGTCTCCACGCTGAAAGTTCTTTTTCTCATATATATGTATATGTTTCTCTATGCAGGTTTCTCTGCAATGGATCCCAGTGCCACATCGCCGAAGTACGAACGTCGCCCATTTTCAATCAAACTGTGGCCCCCTAGCGAAAACACGAGGCAGATGCTTGTGGATCGGGTAACCAGAAATTTCACTTCGCAGTCGATTTACGCTCGAAAGTATGGGAACCTGGGGAAAGAGGAAGCCGAGGAGAATGCAAAAAGAATCGAAGCTGTTGCCTTCGAAGCTGCAAGCCAACAATACGAGAATGAACCAGACGGCGATGGAGGTTCTGCTGTACAGCTTTATGCTAGACAGTGCAGTAAGCTTATTCTGGATGTCCTGAAAAGAGGCCCTGCGTTAAATGAAGACATGGAAGATCTGCCATCCGAGGAAGGAGACCGTGTCCCTAAAGATGGCGTGGAAGTCACCACACCACCTCCCGAGACGTTCTTTGACATATCCAAGGGCTCAAGATCTTTCATAGGAGCAGAGGAGACTGAGGAAATTCTGAAGCCATTGAAGGAGCCTGGGAACTCTTATTCAAAGATATGCTTAAGCAACAGGAGCTTTGGTCTAGAAGCTGCTCGTGTTGCTGGACCGGTTCTGGAATCCATCAAGGATCAGTTAAATGAAGTCGACTTGTCTGATTTCATTGCTGGAAGGCCAGAGGACGAAGCTCTTGAGGTCATGACCATCTTCTCCACTGCACTGGAAGGCAGCATCCTGAGATCTCTGAACCTCTCAGACAATGCTTTGGGTGAAAAGGGTGTCAGGGCATTTGAGGCACTTCTCAAGTCACAGAGTTGCCTTGAAGAGCTCTACTTGATGAATGATGGCATTTCGGAGGAAGCTGCACGAGCAGTTTGCGAACTGATTCCATCTACTGAGAAACTCAAGGTCCTTCGTTTCCATAACAACATGACTGGCGATGAAGGAGCGCTTGCGATTGCTCAGGTTTTGAAGCACTGCCCTTTGCTTGAGGACTTCCGATGTTCGTCCACAAGGGTAGGTGCAGAAGGTGGAGCTGCTTTGTCAGAAGCACTCGAGTCTTGCACTAAGCTGAAGACATTAGACCTCCGAGACAATATGTTTGGGATTGAAGCTGCAGTTGCTCTTGCCAAAGCAATTCCTAAGCTTCCTTCCTTGACTGAGATATACCTGAGCTATTTAAACTTGGAAGATGAAGGTGCTACAGTCATAGCAGATGCACTCAAGGACTCAGCTCCATCACTTGAAGTCCTTGACATGATGGGAAACGACATAACTATTGAAGCTACTCCGAGTATCGCTGCCTGTATTGCATCGAAGCAGAACCTGAAGAAGTTGAACTTGGATGAGAACGAACTCAAGGACGAAGGTGCTGTGCATATTGCAAAAGCCTTGGAAACGGGCCATTCGCAGTTGAAGCAAGTGGATGTGAACACCAACTCCATTGGAAGGGCAGGTGCTCGGGTGTTGGCTAAGGTTGTGGTTCAGAAGCCTGAGTTTGATTTGCTGAATATCAACGGGAATTTCATCTCCGACGAAGGGATTGATGAGGTGAAGGAGCTTTTTGCAAAGTTTCCTGGTAAGCTTGGGCCGCTTGATGAGAATGATCCTGATGGAGTAGGAGACGCTGAAGAATCTGACGAGGAGGGTGATGGCGACGATGATCATGAGTTGGAATCGAAGTTGAAGCATCTTGAGGTCAATGAAGAGGATTAGTAACTTCATTAATCTGTCTCATGGGTGTTATTTAGAAGATTATTGCAGACACTTTTTATTTTTATATTTCTGGTGTTCTGCTAGAAGTCATTGCATCTTAGCCGAGCAGTAGGTTGGCATCTCATTTTGTTGATGAACGATTTAGCGTTTCTTGAGTAGGTCAGGTAAGAGATGCATGAATGAAACTTTCATTCATTCTATATGTATCGTGTTATGGACCCTTTGATAGACAATTTTTTTGTCTATGTCGATAAAATTAATTAAGGATTAAAAAATTGTACTGAAGGTCATACCAGATTGATCCATGGTAACGTATTTTATGGTATAATTGTGGTTAAACCATTTCTGTTCGGTATATTAAAACTAGCTGGAATACCATGGTTCATAGATCGTCTTCTAAAAATGGGCTAGTATGATTTTTTATCATTGATGTTTGTACAAATCCAGATTTTGATCTAGTGTTGCTATTTTGCGGTTTAACTGCAGATACAGTTTTTAATCCTTGTTCAAATCCTACATAAACTCGGTTTTGCTCTTCGTTTTGCAGCGAACAAAATAACGAGGGGAAAAAAAGAAAATACTTTTATAGAAGCGATTATGAAATACAGTGTTCTTGCTAAATTCATCAGCAAACTAGAAAAGTAACTCCCTTCAATACCCTCCTATCATTTTTTTTTCTGCAGCAGGATCTCATCAGAGCTCCAGCAAAGCCATTATTATCACACTACCTCTGCCGTCGGAACTCTGCGCCCCTCGATTCGGACGATGAACTCGGCGCAGTAGGATAGTGAGATCTCTTCTTCTTATGTGTTTTCCACGTCAGAATCTGTCCACTCCAATTCACGCTGCTGCTTCCACTCCGTGGCTCAAATACAGCATCATCGGTTATAACTCTTCTCGGCGGCGCCACCGGCGTGTACGCGGTTGTGGAGGCATCTTCACTCGTTCCTTCGCTCATGGTCGTCGTCGCCGCACTTTCATTCAACACAGAAGCAGAAGCACCACCAGAATTGCCAACAACATGTATCAGATTGCCTTCTGGCAGTGGAGGAGGTGTTTCGATCCGTCTTCGAGTTGGCATTGCTGTGGGAAGTTCTCCATTCTCAACGGCCTTGGAAAACTGATGATCAGTCAAAGTATCGGCGTAAATCACTTCCTTTCTTTTTCGCTTCCCCAGCACTGCATTTTGATCGAACCCTTTGCTTGGCTTGCTGTCTTCCTTGGCAATGTTCTTGTATGCCCATTCGGGGACCTCGTTTTCTCCCATGAGACGGGGCCTGTAATTGTCCTTTCGATTTCTCTCGCAGTCCATTTCGTCGAAGAGCAGTTGTTCGTCATTCGATCGAGCTGCCAGCCAGTTGATTTCGCTCTCAGTTGGTACGTCGTTCCCCAGTAAGCTCGTTCCTTTGCGCATGATCTCCTCTAGCAGCTCTCTCCTGTCCTGAGCTGTGAAAAGTTGGGAAAAGGCAGAAAGAGCAGTGCTCATTTTGAAGCATTAAGGACCTGACTAGGGTTTTACTACACCGAGTGTAAGTCTGATATTACATACCTGTGGATGTGGTATTGAAAAGTCCTGCTTGGATGACCTTCGCATCGATCCCCATCTTCTGCTTCGCTCGTTCCAAGATCACCTCCTCGATCGAGCCAACACTCACCAACACAAAAACCCGAACCTCCTTCTTTTGCCCGATACGATGAGCACGATCCTCCGCCTGCTGGTCCATCTGAGGGTTCCAGTCGCTATCGAACATGATCACAGTGTCAGCAGTCTGCAGATTCAACCCGAGGCCTCCAGCACGGGTGCTGAGAAGGAACATGAAGTAGGGAGAGTCTGGAGCGTTGAACTGCTTCAGCTTAGCGCCTCGTTCTTCCGTTTTGGTGGTGCCATCGAGTCTCAGGTACATGTAACCATGAAGCCTCAGATAGATCTCGAGGATGTTCATCAGTTTGGTCATCTGTGAGAAGAGGAGAATCCTGTGGCCCGTGGCACGTAGCTTGGGGAGCAAGCGATCGAGAAGCTCAAACTTGCCTGAGGCTCGAGTGATTTCGTCGATCTGTCTCATGTTGTAGTCATCTCCGACAAAAAGGTACGGATGGTTACAGCACTTCCTCAGCTGCATTGTTAGGTTCTGCAGACTTTTCGACTTCCCGGATCCTGGAAATTGTTGAATTTCAATAAGAGAAGAGCCCTCAAACACTCTCATAGCAAACTTTATCAGATCTTACTATAAAATGAGTGGATAACAGATTCTATCGATTTTCTGTAAGGATCTTTAGAAATTACAATAATACTTGGCAAATATTACCTTTTTAGTTTTTACAATCTTACCATTCTAAGAAATACTATACCGTATCTTAATTTTATCGAGAATTAGTTGAAGAATATAATATTTTAAATCATATTATCTTCATAAAAATGCTACACATATCACTTATCATTATTATATACAATGACATATTCGATAAAATTATTCATTTATTGTACATGTTTTTTCTTTCATGGTGATTTTTATACCATGACTCATGTGACTATTTGAACGTAACTGATCACTTAACATTCGAAGTTATTTTCATACGACACTAAAATCTTACGACTTCACAATGGGATCTGATGGCCATGTTCTACAGTACTTTTCAATTTTACGTAAAATCTCGACTTTTACAACTACGGTCTATGTTAAAAATCGAACAGGAAAAATTAGGGTTACCGATCTGGCTGAGTCGCGGACTAGGTCGCTCTCTTTAAGACGTTCGCGGCACTGCCTCGTTATTCGCACAGCAGACTATCAGCCGGTCGCCTCCAGGATAAAACAGCCACTCTTTTGTTTTGCTCAGCGGTTTTGTGCGGAAAACCGGAGCTATTTGAATCTCACTCTCTCTCGTGTTTCTGCTCTCTGAGGTGTGTTTAGAGGGTCTGGGGCGTCTCCTATTTATAGGAGCAGAAAACCCAGAATATTCTCTCTTTCTTTGGGAATAAGTCATATTTTAATTAGGGAGATAATTACTCCCATAATTAAAATGTAATCTATTAAGATAATTATTCCTAATTATCTCCATAATATTCCTTTTATTAATTATCCATCTTAATTTCGTATATAGAAAAATACTGGATAATTAATTCAATATAGCTTTCAAAGCTATTCATTCCCAACAATCCCCCACTTGAATAGTTTGAAACTATCTCTGAGCATCAACAGTTCCATAAGATCGGGCATAAGCTAAGGTATCGCGAAGATTTGAACCTTAGCGTAGTGGTTACACTTCCGATTTCATAAGGGTGACTCGTAGTCTTGAACCCTATCTCAGACAATGTAGCACACCGGATCTTTTCATTGAGTGATATTCTCTCATAGGCCGTGCGTTTATGGCCATGCACGTTATCCCGGTTTAGTGAACGCTCTAGCAACTTTGTGCCTCCAAAGTTCCATAGGGAGCGGCCCCACTCCCACATTCACATAGGTGAGTCTATCAGAAGTACCCCCAAAGTAAAGTACTTCACTCCACATAGAGTATAGATCTCATTAAGAGTTTAACTCAACCTCCAAGGCTTTGGGATTCATGCTTCACTATGCATGAACTTTTCTCAATATTACTCATGACTTGTTATTACCCATTGAACCCGTTTCTTGGGATCTCCAGTCTATCGGGTCGGGTTACCATCACTTGTAATCCATGGTTCGGTAGGCATAAGTCTGATACCTTCGTGGCATTTTGGACTTTTCTCTCTAGATAATCCTTTCGTCAAAGGATCAGCTAGATTCCGTTAGGATCTTACATGATCCACCCTCATTGCTCCTATCGTTAGGAGTTCTCTTACAGTACTGTGCTTACGACGAATTTGTCGTCTCTTTTCGTTCTAGAACCGGTTCCCTTCTTTTGCAATAGCTGCGGTGCTATCACAATTAATCAACTACCGGAGGGATCGGTCTTTCCCATAAGGGAATCTCTAGTAGTGACCCTCTCAATCAAATTTCCTCTTTACTAGCCATTGCCAGTTCTATCATTTCCGATTTCTTAGTTGATTGAGCCAGGATCGTTTACTTCTTAGACTTCCAAGACATAGCTTCTCTATCGATGTTTAAAACACATCCTCTTGTTGTCTTGGAGTCCTCTATAGGGTATTCTAATCCGCATCACTATACCCTACCAATACAGCAAAACCTTTGATAACAAATACCAAGGTTTTTCTGTTCTTTTAAGGTGTCTCATGACCCCTTTCAATAGCATTTCAATGTTTCATACTAGGACAATCAGTAAGCCTGCCAAGTACCCCCACTATATCGGGTCTCATGTTTATCAGTTGCCTCTCGCAGACTGTAGATGCTAGTATATTCTAACTTTCTTACACCCTCTTTGGTGTTCTTTAAATATTTATACGAGCATCATCAAACATGTATGCAGGTGTACATCTTGTATTTTCCTAGTTATTAGGATCTCTAAGCATAACATTTGTTTCATTCAGATCCTTCACGTTCAAAATTCTCAACCATCATGGTTTTTCAATATTGACATCACGAGTCTTTGTACCAAAGATCGACGTGTCATTCATAATGCAAGTGTCATTCTCAGATTTGTACTAAATGCACTTGTCACTTTCACTTTTAAAACCATGAGAGAGAACCAGTTTATTCATGCCATCGTCTTAGAGTCTATTTCAAATCTTACGATGATTTGTCTAACTATAGACTCCCTAAGCATGTTCAGGAATAACAACCCTATAGGTTATCCCATGTAGATTTTCCTATCTAAATCACCATTCACAGAAACATGTTTAACGATCCATCTGACGCACAACACTAGCAATCAGAACATACGTGGATGTTATTCTACATATGGTGAATAGATAACAAGAAAATTTACAATTTTTCCTTTTCGCTTAAAGCCTTAGCTATTAGGCGATCCTTATACTCATAAACTAAACCAATAGGTTTCACTTTTCTTTTAAGAATCCATTTATTACCCATGACTTCATCGCCAAGAGGTAATTCTCAAAGATGCCA